GGAATACGTGTCTGTGGGATGTTAAGGGCAGGGGGTGCGTTTATTTTCGATCTCCTCCCGAAGGCAGCATCCTGTCCTGTACGGGTGGGGCTAAAGACAAGCCAGGGAGCAGAGGAAAAGGGCTAAGACAGCCCATCTGCTAGTCCCAGACACACACACACACACACACACACACACACACACACACACACACACACACACACACACACACACACACACACGGACCTAGTCACGCTCACTCTGTTGGAAGATTGTCAACTCTGGGCTAAAAATACTCTGAACCCAAAGAAGACCACAAGGCGACTAAGGTGATTTTTCATTTGGTGTTAAAAACAGAAGTGGATTTGAGTACACTCTCACACACACGCAGCATTTGGCCTGCCTCCAATTACACACACATTTGACACAAATTCACGTACTGACAGACACTCGCTGACCAGTGGTGTAGTGGGGGGGGGTCGGGTCGAGAAACTGGGCGCACTCGTGAACTGTCAATGGGGGGGGGGGTGGGGGGGGGGGTGTACGCCTGTCAGTGCAATTTACATGATGCCGTTTAAAAAATATAATAATAAAGTGCGGTTCCTCTTCCTGTCTATTGGCACCTGTATTTCAAGGTGTAGTTGTTACATCACAACAGAACAGGGAAGTGTTCTGCCTACGAGTAACTGTGAGAAAGTTCTTCCTCTCATCCAACTGGCCCCAAAACAAGGTCAATGCCACATGCGTCAGCGGCGACATCTCATTGTTCTCGTTTGACTTTAATCTGATTGTTTTTTCCTTTTCCACAATTTCGGCCAGATGGCGCTTTGCAAACATACCTGTGTGTCCCTGCTGTATGAAGCCGGCTGAGCATGCAGAGCACTGATCATGTAAGCATACAGGGATGTAAAGCACAACCGTCGGCATCATCACAGCAGCACCAATGCGCACACACACATTTAGTGTGTAATGCAGGAGATAACAGAGAGGAGCAGGATTACATTTTCCCTTATCTCTATCTCTCGGTTTACTGTCGCACCCTTCTCTCTTTCCCCGGGAGAACTCTGTGTGTCTCCGCAAATTCTTTATTGGCATCGTGTGTCTGCATGCATGTGCTCTTAGCTGCGACTGCATTCCTGCGTGCGTGTGTGTGCGTGTGTGTGTCCGTGTGTGTGTCCGTGTCTGGCAGTGTTGTGCGTGGGTAATGCGACAGGGCCATATTTCCCCCGGGCCCGGGGCTCTGCAGGCTTTAGCCTCGCTCTCTCTAAGCAGTTTAGGAAAACAATGACAGGCCTCTGTATCGACTGGTCTGGCCTGGGAGACGCACTGTTCCAACTGCAGCTCACACCCCCTCCTCTATGAAATGAAAACAGTGGAGAAATGGTAGAATGAGGTCCAAACTAGGGGTCATGTTCATATTAGAAATTAGATTTATAAAATATCTATCGATATTGACTATCCTAAAATAGAAGACAACCGGTGCACACAGACCTTAGTAAAAACAGGAAATCCACAGCATTACAGAGTTGATGGCGATGAAATGGTTGCCACCTCAGAAGAAAGCATCCAAATGATACCCTTACCCCTGGCAATCATTTGTGCTCTTTCCATTTGACCAGCAGTCAATTCATGATTTGAACAACCCTTTAGAAATCACTTTCGTAGCAATTTCCTCCCACATTTTTGTATAGTCTTCGGTTTCTTTGTGCTTTTTTGTAACTAACAATGGGCCAAGTGTGTGAGACGAAAGCAGGTGTTAACACTTCATGCTGCTTTTACATGTCTTTCAATGCAGTAAATGCTTTACCGTCTTTCTTGAACAAAGGAAAGCTTGAGGTGCAGAACCTTTAAGTGAGAGCCACAGCTCAGGAAAGAGCCTTAACTGTCATACTAAAAGAGGGAAGGTGTATTTGTGAATCCGACCCCTAGCATTCATTTGAGAGGCCTTGATTTACACTTTCCTTTTGTTTTAAACATATCTCTTTCCAAATCCTTTCACATGCTTCATCCGTGGGGCAGTAATCCCTTCACTCTGCTCAACGGCTTTTATTGTGTCCACAGGATTCATAATGAGTGGAGTCTGTCATTCTATTCAAATGTACTTGATTGACACATTTAGCTAATTCAAATCTAACAAAGTTCAAATATTTGACAATCTGTTTTCCAATAGCACAGACACCACCCTTTAAGGCTGCTTCTCCGCAGCAACCACAAGTTAACACTAAATATACAAACAGTCTTCTTCTGTCACCCAATTTTCCTGTAGAATATATCAATTACTCTGTGACACACACACACACACACACACACACACGCACACACGCACACACACACGCACACACACACGCACACACACACACGCACACACACACACACACGCACACACACACACACCTTTGATCGATCACAATTCTGCATAATCAATACTAAGCTTCCAACAACATAAATGAGGAGGTGTGTGTGTGTGTGTGTGTGTGTGTGTGTGTGTGTGTGTGTGTGTGTGTGTGTGTGTGTGTGTGTGTGTGTGTGTGTGTGTGTGTGTGTGTGTGTGTGTGTGTGTGTGTGTGTGTGTGTGTGTGTGTGTGTGTGTGTGTGTGTGTGTGTGTGTGTGTGTGTGTGTGTGTGTGTGTGTGTGTGTGTGTGTGTGTGTGTGTGTGTGTGTGTGTGTGTGTGTGTGTGTGTGTCCGTTACATTACTCGCTCGTCTTCATCCCTCTTCCTCCTCTCTGGGCTGCAGCGCTGCCAGCTCCTCTAGGGACCCCCCCCTCCTCTTCCTCTGTCCTTCCTCTCCATCCCTCGCTCCGTCTACAAATCAATACAGCAGCAGCAGGACCGTAAGACCCTCAGGGAAACACACACTGCTCCTCTTCCTTCCTATTCCCAATTTTCCTTTATTCAAATCCTTCTAGGACACTTTTTCCCTCTTTTCACATTCCTTATTCCTCATATATGATCTCATTCTTAGAGGTCATATAAGAGGCAAAGGTATCAGACATGAGCTCTCCTCGTTTCCTCTCCTTCACCCTGTGTCCTCTCCTCTTGTGTTTAAAGTCACATTAAGAGGAATAAGCCTGACCTCTACTGGCGATGAGAGGAATTTCAGCCGCGGAGAATGAGACAGAGAAAGAAGGGTTTTCTGTCATAATGGGGTCAGTGTCTCCCAATGAGATCTGCCTCCTCACTGGAGAGACCTCCACACACACACACATACACACACACACACACACTTATTTTTCACTGTCCTGTTTATTAATTTTTCTCATTTGCTCACACATTTCTCCCTCACTAAATGTGTGTGTGGACATTAATACCCTGCTTTCCCCGGTACGGCCTAGCTTGGCCTCTAAAGCCGAGTGGCAGACTTCCTCACTCTCACACACACACTTGCACACACACACACACACACACACACACACACACACACACAGACACACACACACACACACTTGCACACCAAGGGGCTCAGCGAAGCATGCGCAGCAAGATAAGGGCCATAGAATGACAAATAAGTATTTATCACGCCCAAACCACGTATAATCCTTCACATGTCCCCGTCCTCCCCTCATCCCCGACTCTTGTTTTTCATTCTGCTCTCCTTCGCTGTTCATTTTTGGCTTTTTTCCCCTATCTGTGAGAGAGGGAGAGCGATTAATCTGAGAATTAATCTTAGAAAGCTGCTTTTAATGGTGGTGAAGGGAGGGGAGGGGGGGGCGTTGATTGGGAAGGTCTCACTGGGAGTTGTGTGAGTGTGTATGTGAGGTTTTGCAGGGAGATAGCTGGGGAGAGAGACGGAGGAAAACATCCTAGTGGAAATGTCTCTGATATACACACCCACATTCTCAGATAAATCGTTCCTATCATCTCCCCCTCTTACACACACACACACACACACACACACACACACACACACACACACACACACACACACACACACACACACACACACACACACACACACACACACACACACATCATCTCACCAGCTTTAGATTTAGATTCTGATTTGAAACCAGAAAATCCAGATTATCACAAATGTCGTTCCACATTGTAGCTGATATGGTAAATCCACAGGACAGGAAGTGTGTGTGTGTGTGTGTGTGTGTGTGTGTGTGTGTGTGTGTGTGTGTGTGTGTGTGTGTGTGTGTGTGTGTGTGTGTGTGTGTGTGTGTGTGTGTGTGTGTGTGTGTGTGTGTGTGTGTGTGTGTGTGTGTGTGTGTGTGTGTGTGTGTGTGTGTGTGCAGAAGCCTTGCTAACAGGTATTTATCTTTCAGTATAAAGTTAAACATACTATTAGTTCTATTACCTCCGTCACTTCCACATGCTAATCTCTTAATCTCAGTTGTTACCTAGAGATCTCTGCATCGTCTCCCTTTGTGCTCTCACTGCTGATGTGAATTTTAATTTAGGGAAAAAAAAGGTTTTGTTTTTTGCATTGTGATTATGTATTGATGTGTAGTGCGCAGACGTCTTTGGAGAGATGCGAGTGTAGGCGTCTCCGCGGTATGGAGACGGTCTCTGTAAAATATTAATCACAATATCAAAAGACACGAGGTTTTCAACAGATCTGAATAAACAAATCGAGGCGCCCGGTTCCTACAGAAAATAAATAAAAGCCAAACCAGAACAAATACTCTCTGATGTCTAATGATTTGGTTTTCAAGTCCTGCTTTTGTAACACGAATAGCTGTGTTGATAAATGTGTATCCCGTTATTTCGGTGATGTTGCATGTATGTTCCTATCAAATGTTTTTTTACCTAGTTTCCAAAATCTTTTGTGAGAGCAACAAAGCCACAGTGCTGTCCCCACTAGTTTGTGTTGCAGAGTTTCTTCTCCTCTTCTTCCTCTTCCTCCCTCAGACTATGTGAAGCGAGAGGCCTTGCTGTCTGTGCTGTGGGAGGCGGTTGTGTTTCTGTTCTATTATTGGATGGGGGTGCAAGTGCAAAGCACTATGCTCACGTAGCCCATTATTTCTCTCATCATGTGTTCTCACTTGTTCCCTCTCTTCCTCCCTCTCCCCCCAGAACCACACACTGAGTCAGCACGCGCAGTGAGACCAGGGCCCGGCAGGATCCCTCGGCTCAGCCGGGACCCCCGACCCGGAGCCGGCAGGGGACTCCCATCTCCACATCACAGCCAATCAAAGTGTCATTTGCAACTCACATGTAAAACTCTAACGATCGCACCACTGGGCGCGGCTATTAGGAGCAGCGGGGGAAAGGAATATTAATGGGAAATGCTATTAAATAAAGAAAGGAAAAAGTGGGTGAGAGAAAGGGTAAGAGCTAGATGAAGGAAAGAGTGAATAAAGGTATTGTACGTGCAGTATTTTTTATTGTCCCTGCCAACCCCTCTCCCCCCACCAGCTTCTTCCCCCTTCCCTTCTCCCCCCCCCCCCCACACCATCATTCCCCAGGTCAGGCATTTTATTTTTTTTAATAAATAGAAAAGGAAAAAAAGCGATCCTTTGTTTCGGGATTTTTTAAAATAGATTATAGTAAAAAAACGTCACTTTTTGTCCCCTCAGGTGCTTATTGAATTTAACTTCATAGGTGCCAACTTCTTTGATTTCTTTCTTTCTGCCATATGCGCTTACTTTCTTTATCATTTTTGTACCTTTTATTTCTCGCCGTACGTAGGTACTTGTGCTGTGTTGTGATTGTTTGTTTGTCGTAATACTCCCGACTTCCCCCCCCCCCCAACCCCCTCCTTTTTACTATTATTGTTATATATTTTTTTTCCTTTTTGTAATTACTATCAAAAAAAGTCATCAAACTAAATAAAGTGCAGAAAACCATACAGATGTTTCTTTTTTTGTTTTGGATTGGGTTTTCCAGTCTCTATGGGGCCTATAATGGTTATTGTAAAAATGAATATCATCGATTTCAGTGCGTCTGGTCAATGACTGATTTTTAAATGTGAATTAACCAGATTGTAATAATCTAGTACAGACAAAAAAGATAAAACAAATAAATAAATGCAAATAAAAGATGTCTGTGTGATGTGCATTTCATTGAAAATAAGTGATGGAAATACTGATGAGGTTTATTCAAAGGTACATGTCATGAAGTTCAGTGCATATTTTACAAGCCAAGGCAAGGTTTTACATAAAGAATTGCTCATGCTTAAAAGCAGTTTAGGTTCATTACATAAAACATTGGAAAGACATTCTAGTCTCTAGTTCTAAATGATCATAAGATGATCAACGGGTAAGAAAAGGAGAGTTTTTTTGGTATTTTATTATTCTACTTATCTCCTTGTAAAACATGCCTTGAAAACAATATTCTTGTAATATGTGATTCTCACGTGGTCTCTGGATATTTTGGGGACCCAGCTGCCCCAAAATATAAGGTAACGGGGTATGAATGAAATCAGGACCTTAACGCAGAATGGAGAGGAGGAAAGTATAATGGATCAACAAAAAGCTAACTTTTAGTAAAACAAAGCTGATTCATAACAGTCAAAACAAAAACAAAACAACAAAAATAAAGAGAAACAGAGGGGCATGGAGGACAATAGCAGGAACACAGGTATCAACATAAACGACAAATCAACAGAACACAAGGGCAGGCAGGCATACAGTATACACACAATACTTAACACAAAGACCATACAACTGGAGAGGGCAGCAGTTAAACACAGTCATACAATCACACAGGCGGGAAAACAGACAGCAAGTCAAAACCAGACTAGACCCAAAGAGAAAATACATTTCAAAATAAAACAAGAGACACAAAAACTGAGATCATGACAGTAACAATAACTATAGAGGTGACCACTGTAAAACATATAGGACTTTATCAACAGGGACAAAGTCCTTGACCGATTCGCCCGCTGCTGTATACAGATCACTGTTAGAATTAGACAGTTCTATCTTCATTGCCAGACAAAAGCATGTGTCATTAAACTTAGGGACATCATTCACTAGAATATCTGTGGGGTTGATCGCTCTTTTCCACATCATCTCAGAATGTATCTTCTGTTAGAAAGACACATGCTGCTTGTTCGTGACTTTCTAGTGTGTCCCTAATTTTACACCACGCAGTAAGAAGTCACATCTCTATGAATGCTGCAAATAACTTTATAACAGATGCATCTAATATAGAATGATATTTAGATTAAAGTTCCGTGCATTAAATATTAAACGTGTGGTTCAGAGTGTAAGCAGTAGGTTACTCCTGGTTGATACAATTGTTTGAATATGGAGGCGAAATTTCCACAATACTTCCCAGCCTTAGCGTCTCTTTAGATTAGCCAACAACTGTATGCATACACATCTAGAAGACATGAAGCAATACACAGTATACACCCCATTGATGCATCTCTGCTCGCCTGATGGATGTATGATTTAATGGATCACGCAAAGGTTCAAATTGGTTAAAAGGCCCTATTATGCTTTTTGGGGTTTTCCCTTTCCATAGTGTTGTAAATGTTTCTGTGCATGTCAATGGTCTGCAAAGGCTGCAATCTCAATGTTCACACCAGAGGGAGTTTCTCTCACACAAACTCCCCCCCTGCCTGAAACGCCTCCATTGGCCTCCACTGTGAACTTCCGTAACATAATGTCATCACTATGTAACACTTGCGCTTCTATTGGCTTGCACAACATATTGTTTGTTATAGTCCAAGGGCTAACATTGAACATTAAAACATGTAAACATGTCACAGTAAAGCAGGGGTGGCCAACCAATCAGAGGTAAAGAGCCAATCATTTTACTGTGTTACTGCAAAGAGCCACATCATACACACAGGCACACATGCTGGGTGTATGTCCCCGACCTCTCTCTCTCCTTCTCTCTTTTGCTCTCAGCCTTTCTGTGTGCTCCCTCACTCTCTTCCTCTATGTGCCCCTCTATATCTCTCACACATACAAAATGAAAATCTAAAAATGAACAATAATTGACACACACACACACACACACACACACACACACTCAAAGACACACCCTCCCATAGACACACACACCCTCTCACATACAGAAAAATATACCTCTGCTCAGCCAGATTTCCTATAAATGTCACAGTCCATGATAATGACATAAATGGACTTAAACCTCTCCTACCAGTATTAAGTCCAGAGGCCAGTTATAGTCAATCATTAATATTGTGTCTCACACACAAACTCTCAGTTAAAAATCGTTATCTTACTATGCATGTTGCTTCTTTGAAACGTGCAGAGGATGTGGAAGGGGCTCAAATGCATGAAAGGGCACATTTGCGATCTTTGTTAATAATTTAATAAAAATATGCCAGGACTTTTTTCTCCCTGTCTGTATCTCTCCAACCCTGTCTCCTAAAAATTACGTTCCTACAGAACTAAACTGCATTCTCAATTACGTTTAGCTAGAAACGTATTTTCTCCCACGTTACGTTCGTTATGAAGGTATCTCAAATACGTTTATTTTCTACATATCTTTGCCATTTATTGTCTTGCTTATAATAATGATAATAGTTATTTATAAATATCATTTTAGAGCATTTGAAATCAGTAGGCTATAGGCCTACTAGGCGAGGCTGTAATTTCGCCAGCTGTTACTCTCATGAGCGAGGCAGAAAATAATAGTTTTAACATGCCTAAAAGCTGCTGTGTCGTTTATTGCACCTCAAACATTAAAACAAATCCAGAGTTACGTGTTTCTGAACTTCCTCTAAGAAGAAAGGACAGTAACAGAAGATCTCTGTGGCTTCAGGCTTGATCGCCGTTCAAATGACAGCGTTGGTTTCCCCCAAAAGTGGGCGGGGGGATAAGTGACGTATATTTTACTCATATTTTATTCAAAACCATTTTATTTATTCTAACGTAAATGACATGCCAGTGTTTTATCTTTTTATTACTTATATTTTTATACTTTATTTGCTATGAGTTATATCTGAAGCAAATTATGTTTCTGAAGATGTGTAGTCAATTCCACCCTTCAATGTAGCATAAATGTGAACTCTCATTACAGGAACAATACCGGAAACAGACGTAGGAAAGATCCTCAGCTCGCTGATTGGATGTTTTAGCCGCAATGCACGTTTTTAAAGATATTACTGATTTTCTTTGAATATAAGAATGTAAATACTGAGTTGAGAGAATAGTCAGGGGATTTGGGGGATGGGAGACACACCTATGGAATCACAATTTCAATAGCTTACCATTAAATGACGGATATACCTTTCTGTCGGTGATGTTTTACAAATCAGATTTTCTCGTAGATGTGTAGAAGTAAAGCATGAGAAATAGTATAGCAATATCCTGTAACATTATGTAAAAACATGAATAAAACTAAATATCTTCAGATCTTATACATACATAAGTGTCCTACACTAATAATACAAAGTTATTATTAGTATGCTGTGTGTACCTTGTGTGCACCGCCTAGTGGTTAAAGCACGTTATTGAATTATTTTTGTTGAATAATGTTATTTGATGAAAACAATATTAAGAGTATATACTTTCATAGGGAGAAAGTAGAAGGTCAATGATAGAAATATAGAATATAAAAAATGGGGAAGATACTGTAAGTGATCTCTACAATAAAACAGTTTAGTGCACGATGTACAAAGATATGAGGATGTGCAAAACAGACAAACTAATTAACCTTTATTAACACATTAAAGAATACTTTAGGTTAAGGTCTTCTTTCAAATAAGAAAAAGCTTTGGGGGTATCTATCTACAGATAAATATTAAGCCTGACAAAGTCCTTAACGTCTAATATATTGCTTTCCTGCCATGTTAACTATGTTGAAGCACTTATTTTAAATGATATTATACACATTAATTATACTCTTATGTATGTAGATAGAATAAGAAATGTGCAGAATATGACAATTTAATGGTGGAGGTATACACACATATTGATAGATGTCTTGTAATGCACTGTTGAGGAACCTGCGACCCAAGTTTTTCATTCATTGCATAACTACACCATAGTTGTGTATATGATATGTCAATAAACCTTAGAAAATCTTGAAATCTTGAAAGGGATGTGCAAAATAGCCATAATATACAGTCTTTAATTAACTATTAGTAGAGAATAACGAGTAATGAATATACTTTATAGAGATCTGCAGATAAATGTTTAGTCTTCTCAAGCACCAACTATAAAATATCTCTCCTGATTGTTGGCACTTTCCCTGAATTTTACTCAGGTGTAAATAAAATCTGCTTTAAGGGTTGTTTATATTTCACATCATTAATCAGAATCTGCAAAGTAACTCAAATAAATGTAGTAGAGTAAAAATACCAGGTTAACCTCTGAATTGTAGTGGAGTAGAATTACAAAGTAACAATGAGCTGTCATGTGGGTATATATTAATGCTGCCCATTATGGACACAAGCGATTTTCACTTATTAATTATATGTTTTAAATTTGTACACACCAATGTGTTTCCTATCGCCTAAACCTCCAGGGCTGTACACAGTTTAATACTGGCAACTTCTAATTTTGGGAAAAACTAAAACGTCTTTTCAAACTACAATTCCCAGTAGAGACGTGCCATAGAGAACATGTTGCGAAATACAATAGCCAGCATGTGTAGTTCTGGGGAGGGCGTTCGAGTCCAGTTTTGAATAGTCTGCCGTGGTTTGTTCCATTTCAAAGAGTTTGACGCTCGGCGTAACCTTGGCTTGAAGATTAATCACGGGGTTTGTCAACGGGACTGTATTCCAAACGATAGCTGGGGATTATGGGTAGTGTAGTGTCTTCGCTCTTCGGCCATCCTAAACTGAATTTTTTTCCGGATATCATATCGCATTAACAACACCACATCTGGCGTCACAGAGATCTTCTGTTACTGTCCGTTCTTCTTAGAGGAAGTACAGAAACACGTAACTCTGGATTTGTTTTAATATTTGAGGTGCAATAAACGACACAGCAGCTTTTTGGCATGTTAAAACTATTATTTTCGGTCTCGCTCATGAGAGTAACAGCTGGCAAAATTACAGCCTCGCCTACTGATTTCAAATGTGTGCTCTAAACTGATATTTATAAATGACTATTAT